GAACAAATATGAATAATAATGGGATAAATTGAAATTTTTTTATAATAATCGATGAGTTTCAAAGAAACATAACCCATAGTAATGTCATTTACATTCTATCTACTAAGTTACATATATCTATATATGAACATAAATATACCTTCCTACTGTGTTTCATTGTATTTCTATTCGATGATAACTTCGCAATTTCGCAACTTCGATAATTTATCGCAACTTTAAAATATATTTATAAAATCAGTATGTTGTTGGAAACGAAATGTGAACTAATTTTCTTCTTTTATAATAAGGAACGCGTCGAATGTCCTGGGTTTCTTTCATACAGAAATAAAAACACACTCTTTCCAGTAATTGTTTATTGCTAAAGTTTATTACATTCTCTATTATTACAGCTATTATCGCTATTGCGGGTTATTTCAAATTATGATGATTTAGACATTTGAAAAATTTAAATAAACAGAAGAAGGTAGGTTGAGTAGAAGGAAAAATAATGAAAATTATAGATCTCACCATGGTACTACAGGGTACTGAAGAAATAATACAGATGTCGTTGGTCGTTTAATGAATAACGCGCAAGCGCAAAATTAGTTCCTCACTTCCGTCTACAAGGTCAGATGGCGCTGCAAACACCACCTAATTTCTCCGATTAGAGTGTCACCCCCATGGTCTAGCTACGGTCTAGTATGGGAAGAGGTGGCTCCTGACCGCGGAGGAACTGGAAAAGGTAGCAATGGAAACTAAAATAAAAGAAAGCGTCGTACCAAACCGATAGTAAATTTAATAAAACCAAAGCCCAGATTACAAATGCAAGACCTATGCTCGCCCACGCTACGTCCCTCGTTGGGAACCCAACAAACGCGACCTCCCCGAGGCTGCGCGACTATATGAACGCGAGGCCCCTAACAGCCTAATCGGACCCCAGTCCGATTTAGGGGCCTGTTTTCCGAAATCGTTCCGCTAATGCTCGACTATCGCTCAAATCTCAAGAATCTGAGGGCGTCAAGCCCGCACTCGACCTTATGGGGTCGGATCGCGACGATACCTTGTCGAGGTACTCGCGACCCTCCCGTCACCGTGCTCGCTTCCTTCAGGCCCTACGAGATCACGGAGTCTTGCAGAAGTCCAGTAGCGGAACCTCAGATTCGCTTTCGGGGTGTTAAATCCTCGCGAGGCCCCCTTACCGACCACGGGCCCTGCTCCAGCTGTTCAACGAAGCCCCAACGCCAGAGCGGGACTTCCATTCGCCCTGGTCCCACGATGGCACCTGCGTGTCGGGTCTTCCTCTTCGCGTCCACGAGTCCTGACCTCGTGGACGCGCCGCAGTCGGTCCGGTCGACTCCGCCATGCCCTTAAGGGTCCGGAAGGGTTCGCATTCTCCAACATGGCGACCTGAGAGAGGGCTGACCTCGTGAAGGCATCTGCCTCAAGCCCTATAAAACCGCCGCGATCCCTGGGCTTCCCCTGTATCTCGGAGGCTCTCGGCCCGGAAACGGCACCGCATTCAAACGTGGAGGAGACTCCGCGATCCGCCACGTTACATCGAATATAACAGGATTAATACGCTCGGTGTCGAAAATTGTACTTAGTATTTCTGCCTTTTTTCAAAATGTGTGCAAGATGTTGGGTGCGAATTCCAGTGAATAGAATTTTTAAATCTATGTTTGTTATTTCTGGAAAATCAAAGAGATCATATGGGTTTTAATTTTTGAAACGGTATCTTTAGTCGATTACGACATTTCTCTTCAATTTCTAACGCTAAAGTATTTTCCACACTTTGCTGCGACGTTGCTTCTAACGATTTAAAAAACAACTGAATTCAGACGCAGGTTTTGCCGAAGACGAGCTCTCACAAAGAACGTTGCAGCAAGGTGGAGAAAATACTTTAGTGTTAGAAGTCGAAGAGAAGTGTTGGAGTATACGAATGACTCCGTCTTAGAAATCTCTTTGATTTTTCTGCATTTACTGCCATAGATTTAATCATTCTATTAATTGGAACTCATGCTCAATATCTTGCACACATTTTGTGACCAGCAGATACTAAGTAAAATTTTCGATACCGACGGCATGAATTCTATAATATACGGAGATAACGACGAGGACTGATTATTATAGTTACGTAACCGGATCCAGCAGCGACGGTTCTGAATTTCTATGACGAAATTCAGAGTGAGAGATTCAGGAAGAAAAATTGTCGTGCGCGGAGGTCTGTAATTACCACCGGCCCTGGAATTTTTCCCTCTTTGCCCTAACGGGATCCCACGTCCACCTGGGGGCTCGGAGGCCTCACCTCTCGCTCCCTCCTTTTCAGCGAGGCGCTCGGGAAACTCCGAGCCCCACCTGGAGGTCCGGCGACAACATGCGCCGTCCGGTCCGGTCCCGGCGGGCCCCGGTTAGGGGTTTTTACGGCCCTCCAGGAAAAACCCTGCGCCGCGGGCCCTGCCCGACCGAGACGGCGGCGCGCTAACGGTGTCCCGCTCTGAATCGGGGACACGGGGTGTTCCCCGGCCAGCCTAATTACCTCTCCCTTTCAGGAAACCCGTCCGGGAAAACCCTCGCGGCTTGTCCGCCGGTACGCGACCCTCTCTGGGCACGTACGCACCCGCGGACGTGGATTCCCACCCCTTCGGCAGCCCGTACCTCCTCACCGGGTCGTCTTCCATCGACGGCGTTCCCGTCGACTCTTCCTCTCCCCTCTTCCCTTCTGTGTCCCCTCGCTCTCACTCTATCCGCCCCTGAGGCCCGGGGATCGGGCCCTCCCCCCCCCGCGCTCACCCGTGGATACCGCGGACCCGATCCCGCTTGTCGTTCCGCGAGGCCCTAGCTGTTCGCGACCGCCCCCCATGCATCGCAAAGCCCGCGCGGCCGCCCTCGCGGCCGCGCGCAGCTGGCCGGCCACCAACTCCGTTACTTTTTTTCTCCTTCTCCCCTCTCACCTTCCCACCTCTCCATTCCTTGGGAAAAATTCCGGACCCCGCACGCGGGCCCGCAGCCGGCGCGCGCCCCGCGCCGCGCCGCTCGCGGACCGCGTTAACCTTTCCGACCGATCCGCGCCCCGAATGCACCGAAGGAGAACGTCGCCGCCGCGGGGGCGTAATTAAGCTTAATTAGGACTAAGAAGCGTCGTAGACGTGTCCCTGCGCTCAGGCGTCGGGTCTTTCGCGCCACGTGGTGGGCGACGTGGCCGTCCCGGGGCCGGCCGTTCGGATGACCCGGCATGGCCATCCGCCATAAAACCCCTTTGTCTCCGGGCCGAAAGACACGCCGCCCTCGCGGGAAAGACCGACGGACAGAGAGAGCCACCCTAGGATAGTTTTAGTATATGAAGAGTCCGAAATTCGGGTTCCGGGTCAGAAGTCCTCAAGCAGTCCGCGAGTCCGTCACGCTGCCCGTGGCGGTCCATCACCGACGTCACCTCACCTAGACCGACGCCACCTCGCCGAAACCGACGCCAAGCCTCGCGCTTCCACGCGTCTCCGCGACTTCTGCGACTTCCGCGACTCCGGGCTTTCGCTTTCTTTTTTCTGTATCCTCTGAAATCTCCTCGCGCCGTACCGTTGTGCGTGTCCTCCCGAACGAACGGGATACGTGACAACAAAATGATCGTTAGAATCTTGACCGAGGATCCTGTATCTCGAGTATGCTCTGCCCGTATTGACGCCGGAAACGATGTAGAGAAAATGTTGAAAGAATATCCCGAGCGGCTGGAATATTCTTATCGAGGATTTGTTGCTCTTTCAAAGTGCTTTGCACCTCTTACTGATTCGTACCCTCGTGGTCGTACTTCAGGAAAGACTGGATAGAGGGTTTTAAAATGAATTAAATAGAAAGTATAGACTAAGTATAATTAACAACAAAACAATTTACAATGGATACAAGCCAAAGTTTGATTAAATACGAATTGAAGATTGAGAGTGACGCGATAGAGGATAATTCGCGTGGAACGATCTTCTTCGTTAAGAATGAATTTAAAATTGATGGGTACTTGAGAAATAAATTTACGTCCTAGAATCGCGAATCGTCCCGAGTTTATCTTCCGATTGTATGACAAACGATCTGTTCGGTCTCCCTAAAGATGTACGGTGGCTGTCGATACCTAAGTCCAATCTGTTCCCTACTCCGAGACAGAGTTCCAACATTCGGGAAGTTCCGAAGACACATTTTTACCGAACGGTGGTCAAACGTCTTCCAAGCCCAATCGACGCTGTTTTCGAGCGTTTATATACTGTCAAAAGAGCGGCGATCGAGGGTGGGGTCGACGGACTTTGACGTAAGCCGTTGCCCTGCGCGGTCAAACGTAAGTTGTTGCCCTGCCGATTCTGCAGAATTGCATCTTTCAATCGGCAGCTCTATCTGAGGTTCGTGAACTGGTAATGTATAAAGTTTTTGAAAAATGGGACCTACTTGCGTAACATTATTTTATCACACAGTATTTTGGAATCTTTTTACGGTGTAAAAAGAGTAATTGCGCATGTACGTACAATAAATTTATAAAAATGTTAAAATCGCTATTTATCGATTTCAAAATTTCACAAGTAAAAGCAATATTTATTTTCTAACAATGACGCACCCTTCTGAAAAATCTGAAAAAGTTATAAATGAAGAAACTGAATGTTATATTGGTACTGAATAAAAAAGGTGATCACTTGAAAAAGTTAGTATTAAAATTGTAAATTGAAATTGAAACAATTTCTAAGTCGAATATGCAATCAAAATTTGTTTAGGAATTCTCCCCGAGCCCTATTATGCGTGTAAGTTTTAATGTTCTTTCGTAATTTTTTAGGTTTAAAAGAGATACTAAATACCAACTGAAACTTACGTTTCCATCTTGTACTAACATCACAATAAAAATGTAGGGTTGAGACTTGGTAAAAATTGTTTATTGATAGCAACTTAATAACTTTTATTCAAAGTGTAATTTGGTGATTAGGCGTTTTTCACGTGCTTATTCCCCTGCACCAATAAATATCATGCTCATCATTATCTTAGTACTTTCTTTGTATCAGGTACGATGGAATGCTTGCCGTGCTTTGGGACTCGTTCTATGTCATGAACCGGATTCAATTCTGCCGTCATCCTGGAAAGTAATTTATTTTAATTACAGAATTGTATTCTTTCATGGGAATGTTTGAAATGCTTAAGCCGTGAACTTTTCTGTAGGATAATGTATTTCCGGTGTTGTGCGACCTGATCTGCCACAGTCCCAACTTTAAAGTGCGCACCAATGCAGCGTGGGCATTATCTGTCTGCAAATCGTATGGTAACCGAGTTCCAACTCTGTGGAAAACCATATTACTGGCTTTGGAGAATTCGCAGCATGTGCCAAGTTACGTCGAATATCCTCATCGGGATGCACTCGTCCAACAGGTAGCGCTTTTCAAAGATGGAGTGAAAGCCATCGAGAAACTTAATCGTTATCGGTCAAACTAAATTCTTCTATTCATATACCATTTGGTGTTATACGCCGAGGTGTAACTCTTTTAGAGTAAGTGCGTATTATTTCCACCTGTGGAGGAGCAATGCATATTACCCGGAAAATAAACCAAACCCCAGCGTATACAATGAAGTTCGTGCTCGCCACCCTTACTCTCGGGCCAGAAGATGGGATTAGTTAGATGGTCACGGGTAAATAAAGACCCTACATTTATGACTCGGCCCCTGGCAAAGTCGACTCAACGACTCGGACTCGGGGGCTCCTAAAGATGTCACGACAGTCACTCTGTCGCGGCGTCAGTCGAGGGTAGGCAGTGATCAGGCCCGTGCACAGGTGTACCTAAGTGCCTCAAGGCGCCACAGCCCTAACCCCATCTAGGGGACGTAGGGGCGCCGCAACGCCACCGCGATGGTTGACGACTTTTAAAGAGGGCGAGGGCACGGATGTGACAGCGATCAGCCTCAGAACCATGGACATAGGAGTAGACGGGATTAGGCATAACATGGTACACTGGCTTTCGTCGATGGTTTCCTCCTGTCCGCACTGCCCTCTCCGGCCGCGCAGCGTATTAGCTGCAGGAGCAGCGCGGAATTTGAATCGCTCGAGGGGCAGAATGAATTTCCTAAAGAAAGTAAATATTCATAAACAAAAACCATTAACGAAAATTATTTAAGTACTATTGTGGAGTGTCCCTGACCACTTAACGTAGTTTTTGTTAAATGATAATTTACAGAATTTTTTAAAGAATATGATAAAACATGTAGTAAATGTTAATACGTTTCTCAGCGATTCAGTTGTTCCATCCACTAAACCGAAGTTAGATTATCTTAGCTTAAAAAACATAGTTTCTAAATATATATATACAGTGAAATGCCGTAGGAAAATTTACGATGCATCAACTTTCGGACATAGAAACGAAATCGTGATTTCATGTCTCTGCTATATTTACGTTCTACACCATTCTTCATATTCCTCGAATAAATGGACACCTGTAAATCATTAAATGAGCATGTAAATGAGCACCCGTAAACATAAGAAAGACTTTTCTTATCCGAGTTTTTTATAAACGCAAATCGGAGTAACTCTTATGAATTGATTTCATTCGAAATAGGTATCCAAAACGTAAAACCCCATTTCCATTTTGTATTTGGAATAAGTACAATAAACTATTTTGGATTTTCAATTGAAATTAAATACTATGAGAATATTAGAAAAGGATCGACCAGGATGATACTTGTTCTATCAACTGAATCAACTCTCGAAAAAGTTAAACATCACGCGTAACTCGAAATAGCCACATAGGCAAAAACAGATGAGATTAAATTGTTTACTTGCATTTTAAATACAAATACAAGTCATAAAATTACGTGTCCGAAAAAGGCATGGACAACGGAGGGTTAACATTACGACTAGATGGCACCGTTAATTTAAGACAACATTTCTCGTGAAGGAATTGATCCTCTATTCCCTCTGTTAATTACTTGATCGCAGTCGCTGAAAAATGTCAATCCGCCTTGCGAGCCGCGGAAGGAAGGGGCGATAAGGCCCGAGGGTGAACGACTGCAAGCGAGAACGCCGTCGGGAGGCATAAGATCCGCGAGAGAGCAACGGAGAACGCCGCTCCGAAGGGACGAGACCGCATCCCGGGGTACAGAGAGTCTTCGCCGGCGTGTTATTGATGCTAATCCGATTATCGGGAGTCGGTACCGAAACCCTCACAACGGGGAGTGGAACGCCCGAAGACAGGAGTTTTGAGAGTGGTAATGGATGCCCGGGGCCTATGCTACCCGTAGGAGTAAGAGAGAACGCCACGTCTAGGACCCTCGAACCCCGAGCCGGCGGTCGAGCCTAGTCGGCACCGACGAAGGGAAACTGATTTTTGCTCTCCTCCTTCCCTTTTCCCTCCATGTGTCACGTTTGTCAGACAATTGATATGATGAAATATTAGCCAATTTAAATTTACTTTGGGCTGTAACGGGGCTGTTCGACCGTCGCGAAATATGCTACAACTTGTTTGCATTGTAATGGTATGCAGTTTTGTCGGTGCCTATGCACCAAGAAACTGCATCCGTCGAGGGTTCGAGCCTCACGACTCCTGAGACCGAAATTAATTAAATTTTAAAGATAAGAAAAGAAAAGAGACTGGCGAGAGAGCGAGGAGAGCGTTTACGGACGATCAGCTGAGCCCGTCAATATTGTGGATTTCGGGAGGCCTGTCCGCGAGAACTGGTTCGAGCGAGTTTTTCTAATGATAAGCGCTCGGGCGCTGTCCCGTCTAAGTGAAATTTGGCGATTTAAATTCCGGGAAAATGCTCGGATTTTCGGCACCTTTGATTTTCAGCCGATGCAGTCCTAATTGGATTAAAGGGATTTTCCCTGACTCATGCGTTGAACTCGAAAAGGAAAGGATAGGAAAGGAATTGATCCTCAGTAAGAACGACTTATTCCATTATCGGTGCGTTCTATTCGTTCATCATTGAATCGACATGGAATATGGCAATATGGGATGTAAAGGTTATGTGGAACGGGTGGCTTTGGGTAGAATTCAAAGAGGAAATAACAACCGTCTACGCGACCTCCGCGTACCCCTTCCCCACGTGTCGAGTTCTTACCGACGCGTTTGAATTAAATTCTAACCGTTGGTGGGATTGGAAAACGACGTTGTTTATTAACAACGCGTATGAGAAACGAACACCTAATTCGGGTGGCTGATCAGCCTTACTTGAAAGAATACGCTTAAAAATGGGTTTCGCGGACTAAAGTCGACCACGGATTTATGTTTCATCCGGAGTTGATTTCTCCGGGTTTTAGTATCACTTAAATTAGGTTATTCAGCCGCGGATATTGGCTGGGTTAAGGCTTTGAGGATTTGGAATTCTGCCATCAATCGCAATGTGCGATTTTGAGGATGAAAGTGAAGGATTATAAGAGACAGGATTTTAAGAAATAGGATGTGGGTGTGGTCGCTATACCAGACCCACTGGAACACGGACCTGAAAATAAACAAATCAAACGCATTCACCCTTATTAAGAGTTTTCTCCGTAATCGAATCGTGAGCGGCAATGCTCAGTCATCGAATTTGGGACAAAACTCTAAAGGGCGACTTCTCGCCAGCGCACTGTCCGGCTCGAATCGTGGGCGGCAACGCCCGGTCACCGAGGAACGAACAGCTGCTTAACGAGGTGGTTTGCCAGAACTCCGAATTCTACTCCTCAACGTTTGTTTTAATCGCGGTCGCGGGTACTCGATAAATTCTCACAATCTATGTGACTATGGTTGCTTGCAGGACCTTTTCCCTGTCTACCCTGTCGATGAACACGGCAAGAACAGCGCTGGTCTGCGAAAAAGGAATTAATTTTATAAATATTAACAACTGCAATATCGTCACTCGGGGTCAATCAGTACGATTTTTAGATGTTTATGTTAGTAACATTTATTTATTTCTTTTAACAAGTTGGTTTCAATTTTAGATAACTGATAAATATCCTTGTATGCCATTAAGAATCAATTTATAGGATGAACCATAGTTTTGACATAATTTTTTCTGTAGATGCCCCAGTAGACTCGAAGTTAGGAGTCAATAAGTACAAAGAATTAGAAATCAACACTCAAGAAACAAATTTTTTTTCCAATCAAAAATACAATCTGCTATTAGGAACACCATGTGCAACCCTCATCAAACATACGTTCTCTCGTATTTTTTAGTAACTCACGCGGAAGGAAAAAGGAGAGTAAATTCATCTAATTTTGTGAGCTAAATATGGCGAACTCAATAGACCAGTTGACTCAATTTGGATTTGGAGCATCAATTCTGTTTAAGTCAAGTTTGGAGTTGATTCAACTACAAAATGTGATTTCGCGCTAAATGTAAGTTGAACCAACTCGCTTATTGAATTCGCCATATTTAACTCGGAATATGAGTTGAATTTATTGACTTTTTTTCCCGCGCAGGAGTAAAACAACATAGGTATAGAAATTCATGAAAGAAAACGTAAATGCTAGTCTTTGTGAATGTCTTAAAATGTATATTATTCTCCTTAAAAATAAGAATCCAATATAAAACTTCATAAATTTCTTTAGTATCTGCCAAAGTTGTTTGTCTTTCTCACTCGAGTGCAGTTTGAAAGGTTTCTTGGGTGTCATTTTTATACACTCGACGGCCAATCTTCGTAACGTTCTTTCTAACCATCTTTTCCCGATTTATCCCGACTAATACACTGAAACGGAAATGAATTGCTAGAAAATTGATGGTTTAATTTTTCTCAACCTGACCTCAAATACATTACTGTAAAATGTGGTCAAAGGATGGAAGTATGCACAAATTGAACGAATAACGCTGGAAAACATTTATATAAAAAAGAAGTTTATGAAGCAATCAGAAAACCACAGGATTTCTCGTAAATTTTCAAATTTGATGACATGAACAAATGAAACTTACGACAGTAGAAGATTTAACCATAATTGGAGAGAAAATTTTATACTGCGGAACGAATTAACAGTATTGCAATATGATATTATATGCAAACAAGTTGTAGCATATTTCGTGACGGTCGAACAGTCCTGCTACAGCCCAAAGTAAATTTAAATGGCCAACATTTCTTCGTTATATGAATTCTCTGACGAACGTTACACATGCTTGGTAAAGGGACGGAGGGGTGTGAATAATTCGGGAAGCGTTCGAATCCGCCGACACTGAACCTGGGCGGATGCAGCAGGACGGGGGGTCGGTGCGGTAAGGGGTCTGCACACTTGTGTGTCTCTATATCCTCCCTGGAGGCCGTGTGTGCGAGTGAGATAGCCTATTTATTGCGCTATCCATCGAATAACACGGGACAGACTTGTGCGTCCGGGTTTTAGGCCTTTACCAAACACCGCTTTCCCGTTGGCGTGGCCGGCGCGGCTCGGACGCCGATTAGACGCTCAGGGGGGGGGGGCATTCTCGTTTGCTCCTACGGGTCGCAATGGCCTCGTAATTCCATTAGCTCTCTCAAAACTCCAGTCTCGGGCCTTCCACCCCTGCCGCGAGGGTCTCCATATCGGCTCCCGATAATCCGATTAGCATCAATGTTTACACGCCAGCGAGGAAGTCTCTCTCTCCCTCCCTCTCCCT